GGTTAATTTATTTCACAATTTAATACATATTTTATTTTCTATATTTTCACATTTTACATTAGGCATTTACTTTAATTAAATTATATGTTTAAACAATATTTAGGCTCTGAAGATGGCATTACGCCGAAACAGCGCTGTTAGCTTTATTCCAGTTTTAGATAAATATGAACTCAAACAATACCGCCTCGTTGAATGTCTTATAAAGAAGTTAATTAATGCAAAATGGGCAAACAATTTCAATGAAATTTGCATATATATATATATATATAGATGGTTACAATAATTGAGTTGTGTTATCTTAAGCCTTATTCGGCAGGCTACTGACGAGTCTCGTGAGAGACGAAACGTACGTCTGGCCTAACGCGGGTAATGGTTTACCAATAATATATATACATACATATATATATATATATATATATATATATATATATATATATATATATATATCTGGGTTGTTTTGCTAAACAATTATCGAAGCAAGGACCTTTGAAGAATGTAAAGTTTACATTGTAAACCGTCTTTAAATGAAGTCAGTTCGGCATTAATTGACAGACGAAGATTCGACCTACTGGTAAGAGGCAACTTGAAAATTCAATTAAATTATTCGACAATTGAAAGAAACCCTAAGATTAGTGCGACTTACAGAGTATGTCAAGCAATTAAAATATCTGAACTTACAATCTAAATGCACTATCTGACTTACAAACACACACACAAAAAAGCATACTTACGCACACAAACATGAACAAACAAACACTCGGAAAAACAAAAACCAACTGAAGGAGAAATTCTTACAGGTGAATAAATATTAACCGAATTTTGTATCAACTACACACACACATTTGCTGACTTAGAAATAAATTCATCTTCAACCTTCATTTGCTTTGCTCTTGAAAACCTGTTAAGAAGTTATTTGTTGCCCTTTCTTAGCACATATATAATAAACACACCACTTGCAACGTACATAATATACGCTTTGTCTGTTTTTTTTTTTGTTTTTTTTTTTTTTTTTTTTTTTTTTTTTTTTCGTGGTTCGGGTTTTTTTTTTTTATTTTGTTTGAATTTTTAATTTGAAATTTTCTGGTTTTGTTTACCCAAGAAAAGCAAATAATTAATAAAAATGATTTACGGAAGAAAAAAATTTTTATTAAACAAAAAATAACATCCCCACTAATCACTTAACGCACGTACACATTGCCAAATACAAACACGCAGACCCACATACCCTCATATTTACACATACAAACACATATATACGACGTACACTAACTTCTCTACACAGTGACATTTTGGCTTAGACATACATACACCCCCTACACACTCATTTACTCTCTACACACACACATACACACATACAAACACACACACACGCACGTACACATGCAAACACACGCCCAAACGCGCGCACACACTCATATATGCTTGAGAATTCTTCATTGAAATATTTAAAGAGGTCCAAAATTATTTACTCAACCACTCTTTGGTCAACAACCACTTTCTCATTAGATTACGAAAGTTCCAGTAAGATAAGAAAGATTTATGAAAATGAAACAATTATTAAAAGAATACACACACAAACACATACACTCACAGACATACAAACATACACTCACAGACATCTTTCTAATCAAAATTAACAATGAATAAAACTACATTTCCATTAAAAAAAACTATCAAAATTAACCAACTAGATATCAGTGCAATACTACAAAACGCAGTTAACCTTTAACAGACAACAAGTGCTACGTTTCAAATTTATACTTACCCTTTAACCTAAATTTTAAAATGTTCAAACCAAAGCCAAATGAAAATCTATAAAAATCATCGTTTCAACTTCAACCAGGTTTGAAATTTTGTTAGAGAAGCACTGCAAAGAGCTCAATTGAAAAAGGTTGGTGTGAATATTTTACTGGAACATTTTTTAGGACGCAACTAGAAAAAGCTTCGTTTGGAGTTGGGGGGCCCAAAAAAGTTTGACAATTGGGGGCAAAATGGCACCTTGGCACTCCCTGTGGTTGTGGGTAGATTTAATTCTTAAAAACAAATAATTTTAAGATTTAGTTCACATTTGATTATAGTAAAATTTTTGGTCTAACTTCTGAAATGGACTAATTAATATTTTTAATTTATTAGCACGAAAAATGAAGAATTTTTTCATATTTCTTGTTGTGATCTCAGGTAGTTTTTTTATATTAGATTTTAACTTTAACGCTCATTGATATTGAAATTACTTAATTTACTGAATAAATTAAGAATAAAGTTCAAATTTGGTTAAGAAAAGAGAAAATATTAAAAAAAAATTTAATCTTCAAAGATGGTGTTACGGCTGAGTTATTGGCTCCATTGAACACCAACTACCGAAATTGTATGTATATCGTACATAAGTTTTTTGATTTTTTTCCCCTTTCAATTGAAATCATTTTAAAAATTGCTTCAATTATTAACAACAATAATATGTATAATTAACTTTAATTAACTTTAAATTGTAATTTTTAACTGGGTTTTACCAATCCTGTTTCATTTACTGTTAGATATATGTTGGGGTTGCTGTCTTGGTAGGCTATTCAATCTTTTAACGACAGCCTAGCGTTGTATTGCGGCGAATAAATAAATAATTATTTAATTATTTATTAATTAATAATTGTTTTTATGATGATAAACAAATATTAACAACACTTTATCTCCGAGCACTTCATTTAACCTCAGTTGTTGGTGACGTAGAAAATGCTTTGCTGAGGGCCGATGATACTATTTGCAAAACCGGTCATAAGCAGTCGCCAATCGACATCACGAATGTTGTTGAAGCCCCAGCAAGCGAGGTCACACCCTGGGACATCCCTAACCCGGAAAAGACCTACCACACCTTGCACTACATCGCCTATGATAGAGGTTAGTTTAGAAGAAAAAAATTTCGATCTGTAAATTTTATTTTTTATCGATTTATTTTTGAAGGAAATTTTTGTCGTTGCTTTATGTTTATTTATTTTAGCTAAAATTTATTTTACGTTAACTTTTAATGGAGTTAATGATTGATGGTTAATTTGTCTCCGAACATTTGATAATACAACTTTCTTTTCCATATTTTCCTTTTCTCAACTTTATTTGTCAAATCTTTTTTTAAGTGAAATTCGCCTCTATGGATTTCAATTTTCAAAGAGATGACGCTATAGCACAGCACTTTGAAAATGCCCAATTCAAATGGCCAAGCGAGCATACTATAAATGGCACTCAGTATCCTCTTGAAGTATTATTATTCAATTTTTAGCTACAAAATCATTTTCGTCAAACTATGTTTCTCAACATAAAGTTCATGTTTTTTAAAAAAAACTTTATTTTACGGTTACATCATGTTAGATGGGTTGCGCTAAAATTTATATAGATTAAAATGTAAAATGCGGAAACAGTTTAAGTTTTTTGGTCACATCATGCGGAAGGAAAGAATGGAAAATCTAACAACTACTAGAGAGATTGTAGGAAAAAGAGATCGCGGTCAACAACGAATAACATTCGTGAAGTCCTTGTGCCACTTGTTGAATAAAACCACATTTCAACTCTTACAAAGTGTTAAAGATCGGATTTTGTAGAGGTCGATGGTCGCCAATGTCCTGAAAGGAGGAAGCACGAGAAGAAAGATTATAGATTTTAAAATAATTTATTTATAGTTTCGGGAAATTAATAATAATATTAGTGATTGATGATTACGCTGTATATATATTTAATTTTTTAACTAATTAATTTATTCTACCATTAATGTTCGTAGATTGTCATGGTGTTCCAAAACTTCGGCGGACCCGAAATGAAAACCGTCATCTTCGCCGAGGTCAGCTCTTAATTTCGTTGCGTATTATTATATTATATTAGTTATTGAATTATTTTTTTTATAATAGGAATGAATTTTTCTCCCTCGCAGATTGGAAAGCCGAATTGCGAGCTGCAAAAATATGTTGACGAATTATCCGACATTGTCTCTTATACAAAATGTGTAACCCACATTCGTCTCTTCAAACAAATTGTTGCTAAAAACTTTTGAATCTTTAATAATCGATAAAAATATCGATAATTAAGTATGTAAAATAATTAAGTAAGAAAATAAGTATCGATATTTATGGGTGATTTTATTAGATTCCAAACAAAAGAGATATTTTTTAATGCTTAATTTATTCCACAAAAGATAAATTTTTATATATTTAACATTTTAATAAATTTAATCCAAAAATTATCTTTATTTTATAATTGTTTCGTTATTTGCGTTGCCAGCAGCAGCAGGTGGGGTGGGTTAGCGGGCAGATTTAAGGTTGCACGTGGTAGATTTCTCTGCCATTACGTGGTTGGAGTTCTCTAGAAGACTTTTCCATCAAGTTTTTGAATTTGTTGAGCTGAAAATTAAAAAATTATCAATCAATACTGGACAAATCATTATTAATTTCACTGAATTTTATGAGAGATTTCATCAAAAAATGTATCCCATTCGCACGTTCGTAACCAACTTAAGAACATTTAGCTTTTGAAGAATTATGTGCAAATAAATAAACTAAATTTAATGTTTCTTAAAAGATGGTTACGTAATTGTTTCATTAAATATTTTCAGACTATCTTTCGAAGAGAAGTTTTTCCAGTAAATAATTCTCTATTTTACAACTTGAATGGTTGTACTAAGGAATGCATACATGATGTTTTTGTTAATGAATTAGTATAATTAGTATAAGTTTTAGTATAAATTTGAATACGAGGAACAACTTCAAAACGGTTGTAAATCGGATCAAATAGGGCAATCATGGTAAACCTGTTCCTGGGAAATGGTTATTGGATGCTTGTAGACTCTAGTGTCGGTTGGTTCCCTGCATTGTGGAATGGTCCCACTACCAACGTATTGGAAAAATTCTCGATTCGCCGGAAACAATTTGCTCGGAGTGTATTGCAAGTCAAACACGTAGACAGTATCTGGTTGACGGGCGTGTGAAAGATAAGGTGTTTTTGGAAACTTTGAAAATTGAGGTGAAACTGCAGAAAAGTTTTCATTTTTTTTTTTTTTTTTTGATAAAATAAAACTAACCCGCGTGTATGGGTTTCATATAGGGCAAAAACTCGATGAACTTCTCAATCTCCGAGTTTGCTTCACCAATCTTTAAAATGTTACCCCAAATTATTTCCACATGTAACTTACAAAAATTATATGGTGTGAAACAGAAAATAAATGATTTTTAAGTTATTGAAACCGAGGAAATGAAGAAATAACTTACATCGGCCAAGACGACGACTATGATTTCTGTTAAAGGGTCCGACGAGTCAGTCGAGTAGATCATCGTAATCTGATATTTTAATGGGCATTTATAAAAGCTATTTTTAGCTGCCGTTCGTAAAGCAAATATTGTTTATATTTAAACTTTATGTTCATATAACCAGCGTAGAATTCGTTCAAACGATAGATTCAAAAACGTATATAAGTCGTTATTTTCTAAGATTTATTTTATATAATAAAATTTACATTATATTTAATTAATACATTTTTTTATATATTTTTATATATTATATTTAATTTATATATTTTTGCCATGACAAAGTTCTTTTATTCCAACTTTGCTACGACGTAAATCATCTTTTAAAAATAACCCAGTGTTATAACCGTATAACCGTGTTATAGTATTTTAATCACATTGCTCCGTTAAATTTTTATAAAAATATTAATTTGAAACTAATCTGACTTGGAAATCGGAATGTTTGCCTTCGATTGCGTGTTCACTGAGCCACTTAAACTCAAATTGATAGAGTTCAGCGCCGTAGGCAGGGGAATTTCCTTTAGGTTCAAATTGCCCATTGATATATTGAACTGCGAAAATAAATTTGTTTAAATTAAATAACTTTCATGAATAGATTGTAAAAAATTGAGAAGTATTTAAAACATTTTTTTAAATTTAGAATTAACATAATGCTGGAACAAAGGAAAAGAAATCTTGTTTGATTAGAAATTCAATTGTCGGTAAAGTTGCATCAACGAATGATTCCCTATAAAAAAAATGTCTAAAACAAACGAGCTAACAAACATGAATTTTAGTGAAAGCTACAAAAAATATCGAAAGCAAAATTAAAAAGGCAAAAAATATCAAGCTGAAAGAGAATTGAATGACCTGATGATAAAGCATTTTCAATAAATATAAGGAGTATTTAACATAACCAAAATAAGAGAAAATATTGACAATGGAGCGTATAATAAATAAGTAATAAAACTTCTCAAAACTCACCTCGATCGCGAATCATGAAACTAAAGAGGGTGGCTTCGAATTGTCCCTCGGGTACCAAATTTTCAAATCACTCTCCAAAGCATTTGTAATTCTCGATGTTAATTGGAGACTGTCTTGTTCCAGTTTGGCAAACCGTCTCATTGGGTTGCCCTACGTTTGCGACTGAAGCGCACACAGAAATGGAAAAATAAATTATTAATATAATGTTATAACCGCGGAAATAATAGAATAGCGCTATATTATTTATTATTTGATTATTGTTATCTTTGATTGTGAAAATTGTATCTATGCTAAATCGGCTAAAAATATGTTCCGCGTTGGGAGATTTACAAGTCAGGTTTTCAGCAAAGAAAGCGAAGTCATAAATGTAATTTATGTAGTTACTTCAAATAAACGTTCAACAAAGTTTGGGTTTTGAAGCAGTTGTGTTCATCTATCGGAAATCCTTAACCTACGGATAAACGAACTTTTGACTATCGTCGGATGCTACGACACTGGTTTTGAAGATATAGAAGAGGTCTTTGAAGTTATAACATTGGTGTTGGTGGTAGTTACGAAAGTCAAAAGATTTACAACAATAAGTAGTGTTTTATACAACCATATGGTGTAATGGTTAAGGCGCCTGGCATTGTTCAAGCAGTAAGCGGATTCGATTGTAAAGAAATCTCTGCCTATCATATACTTTTAACATTTAATAAATAAATATACATTCAATAAACAATAAAATACTTCATCGAAATAATAATAATAACAAAATTAAAATTATCATAAAATGATTTATATTGAATAAATACTGCATTACACGATTCTTTTTCATTTCATTCCATCGCCTAATACGCCACCTGTAAATTATTTGGTTAGTCGTTCATTTTTCTGTTCATTCATTCATTCGTTTATTCATTCGTTCATTCATTCGTTCATTCATTCGTTTATTCATTCGTTCATTCATTCGTTTATTCATCCATCTATGAATCTTGCAAAATATTAATTGTGTTAAAAACGTTACGTTGAAAAATTAGTTTGAAGATACTGACCAACGGTGAGGGCAAGCACAACTATGTAGGCTACTTTCATTTTCTGTAAAAATATTTTTCTGAAACAATATCACATAAATGATGAAAATATTTTTGTTAAAATAATATTTTTTTTTGTGAAATAATATCAAATAATTTTTAAAAACGCAACCTTTTTGTGAGTTTTCAGATTGACTTTGATGTTTTTGTCAATTTGGAAAGCGTTTTATAGAAATTTTTGGCTGGCTGACTTTGAAAAATTTTAGGCTTCGGGGTCTAAAAATGGTTTTAAAAAAATTTTAACGAAAATAAAATGTTATTTCGATATTATTTATTCTTTTATAAATTTTTATTAAGTATTTTACATCAATGATGAAATATTTGTTTTTTAGTGACAAACTTCGATAAAAAAAAAGGGCCCAAAAACTCACTGATGGAAAAAATGGAAATTATGTGGCTGAAATCTCATTTGAATTTTCAACCAAGTGGTCAATAATTTCGTTTTGAATAATATTCAAATTATCAGACGACAGATGTTTTTGAAAGAGTTGAAAATATTTCTTTATTCAAATTCAAATTAATTTTTTGTTTTTTTTTCATTAAAATCATCTAAATATATTAAAATAAGATTTAATTTTAAAGTTTTAATCAGTTTTCCTAAAGAGTAATACGGGCTAATGTATAACCGTAAATAGAGGCTAAAAATTGTGGTTGAAATAAGAAAGTAGACAAATACTATACTACTACACAAGGTCAACACCAATAAATTTAAAAAAATAAATCAATGTCTTTTTTGAGGAAGAAGACATTGTTTTAGTTTGGCATGTAATGAAATTGATTGATTGGTTAGTTCATTTACCAACATTACCATCCTACAACTACGTAACGTATGTTGTAGTAATTTTTAAACTGCCAGGTTTATGTGCGTACGTTGTTATAGTTGTTAGAAATGATATCTTTTCTATTGATTTGTCGCCATATATGTTTAACAAACTTTGAATTTAAAAATTTTTCTTAAAATACAACGGCATGACCAGACTTCTTAGCCATTGCATCATATTAAAAAATATCATGTGATAAAGAAAATGGATTGATATCATTGCAAGAATTTTAATAACCAACGAAAAACAAATTTTGCTTTTAAATGTCGAAAAAATAGTTTTTTAATTTGGACTCCAATAAATTTTAAATCAAATTTTCAACAGATGAGAAAAATTTTTAAGTTCCCCGTATGCTATTTTTCTTCCATGGCGCTCTTTCAACTCATTTCGGCTGGTTCCCATCAGAGTCCTAATTTAATAGTATTGCTAAAAATTGGCCCGAAGACTCAAAATCAAAAATTAAACTATACCCAAAAATTTTTCATAGAAGGGTATTTCATTTGAATTTTTCAAATGTTAAAGATCGATAGCTTTGTTTGCATGTAATGTAAATTTCAATTTCCATCAGACAGGTGTTCTGACCAAAGCAGTCAGATAGTCATCACGTAGACACATTTTTTCGAGAATTGTTCCTAGCATTATTACATTATTGTCCTTAACTACCTATGAAATAATGTGTATGTATTTGTGTGTGTGTGTGTGTGTGTGTGTGTGTGTGTGTGTGTGTGTGTGTGTGTGTGTGTGTGTGTGTGTGTGTGTGTAATACGCTGATGAGTGTAATGTGGGTGCAATTGAAAAGAAATTAAAGTTTTTTAAATGTCAAGGTCGGTTCCTTCCATTGATACATTGTCTGTTAGTCTATGATCAATCATCACGTATGTATTGAAATTCTTTTTGGTATTGATTATATAAACCCATCATTATAAAACAACAGTATAAATTAGTTCACATTTTTCTGCGAGAATTCAAAATAACTTGAGATCACACCATACAGCACACAAATTGTGAAATTTGAATGTTTTATAAATATCTACACACGCAATACAGAGTACAGAATCAACATTGAAATGCGTTCTGGGTTTGCTGGTATATATATATATATATATATATATATTTATTTATTTATATATATATATATATATATATGTTGGTAATAGACCATAATTTTTACGATATTCTATAAATTCTACCGAATGTATGGCGTTAATATGTTTCTCACTAAAGTTTTTTGGTGAACGTTTAGTTTATTAAAATTCAAAATAAACTTATTTTCCGAATTCATGCTGCAAATAAGTTCATATTTCGATTCCAAATGAAACATCATCAGTGCGATTTAATTTATATAGGGAAATATTCACTTTGTCAAAGTGAACTTAGATGTAAATTAGGCGTCAGATTTCTTTATTGGCTGGTCCATCTTCGTTGGTTTCCTTTTCTTCATCTATAGCATCATATTCTTCTTTGTCACTATTTACAATAACAAAATAATAATATAATAAAAACCAGCATTGTAAAATTCAAAATTTAATTAAATTAGATTATATACACAAGTTTTATTTGCCAAGTAATACCATCCAATCATTTAAACTCGCACACCCTTCAATTGAACTATCTCGCAATCTATTTCTTTTTATGCCTACCAGTTTTCCAGATTTTGAAAAAGCTTGTTCTTTTGGTGTGGAAGTTGAAGGGATACATTACGCAAAGTATTGAATACCGCTAGCATGACGTTATTTCCTCCAACGATTCCGTAACAAATTCTCCATCCTATTTTAAAAATTTCCTACCTTATTTTCTGATGTTGATGATTTTGTCTGTGCTTTTAATATCTACATTACTTCTATTCTTGATAAGCTTATTCCTCTTAAATCTTTTACTTATAGGCTCTATTCTCGTAAGGCTCCTTGGTTTGATTATGCTTGTGTAGTAGCCAAGAAAAGTCTTAGAAGACTGGAGAAAGCCTATAGGTTAAATCCATCTAACTCTCTTTATTCTATCTATGAATCTGAATTGATTAATTATAAATATCTACTATTCTCTAAACACTCTACTTTTCTTAGAAATTCTATAACATCTGCTTCAACATCTAAAAATAGGTGGTCTGTTCTATCTAAACTTCTACATAAAAAATCTTCTCACTCATCTTTCTCTGCTCAACAGTTTCATGACTTTTTTGTAAATAAAATTACTTCTTTAAGAACATCTAATTCTAATTTTCCTTCTCATAACTTTACTAAACTTACTACTGAATCTTTCTCTGTATTTACTCTAATAAATCTTTTAGAACTAACTAAAATTATTAATTCTATGTCGTCTACAACCTGTTCTCTAGATCTACTTCCTTCTAATTTACTTAAAGAATTCTCTTCAATATTTTATCCAATCATTCTCAAATTAGTTAATTTATCTCTTTCCACCTCTAAATTTCCTACTTCTTATAAGAATTCTATTGTTATTCCTATTCTTAAAAACACATCCCTAGATCCTACCTCTTTATCTAATTATAGACCTGTAACTAATATTACTTTCATCTCTAAAATAATAGAAAAAGCTGTTTTTAATCAACTCTCATCCTATTTAGACTTTAACTCTTTGCTACCTGTATCTCAATCTGGTTTCAGACCTGCTCACAGTACTGAAACTTCTTTACTTAAAATACACAATGATATCCTTCTCACTAGTGACAATAGTAATCTTACTCTTCTTCTTGCTCTTGATTTTTCTTCAGCTTTTGATACTGTTGACCATACTATTCTCTTGAGACTGCTGCATCTTTCTTTTAATATTACTGATTCTTGTCTATCTTGGTTTTCTTCTTATCTCTGTAATCGTTTTTCTTCTGTTGTTCTCAATAACTCCTCTACTCTTACTTTCGGGGTACCTCAGGGTTCTATCCTTGGCCCTCTTCTATTTATACTCTATACTTCTGAACTACCTCGTATTATTAATAACTTTTCTTTCTCTAGTCAACTATATGCTGATGATTCTTATATTTATACTTCTTTTCCTCCATCTAATCTCAATAGTGTTCTTCATAATTTATCTCTATGTCTTTCTTCGATTATCGCTTGGTCTGACTCTATGTGTCTTAAACTTAATCCTTCTAAGTTTGAATTAATTTGTTTTAATAAATCTAAACACTCTATTACTATTCCTCCTATTATCTTACCTGATTCTAAAACTCTTAATGTCTCTCATAAGTTTCGTAGTCTAGGTTTTATTTTTGATTCTACTATGTCTCTCTCTTCTCAGATTAATAGTGTTGCTAGAAGCTCTTACTTTCATCTACGTAGAATAAAAACACTTTTGCCTTTTCTTGATGATCCTACTCTTCTCCTTCTTGTTACTTCGTTAGTCTTATCTAGGATTGATTATTGTAACTCGCTCTACTATGGTCTTCCTGACTCTATACTCTATCTTTTAAGTAAA